TTCAGTAGCTATAAAGTGTATATTATCATAAAGCTTCCAGTAAAAGAAAGAAAGAAATACTCAATTACAATGTACTAAACAATTGGCCAAGCAACAATGCAAGCAATGCAACAATATAACAGTAATGTTAATACTGACATCCTCTTAAGTGAATTTCACCACAATTCAAGACGCTCAAGATGGTTTCAGTCATGGCCCCCCCCCCCATGCGCAGGTGCACTTAGGGCGTGCCTGAATCCACTTTTGCTAGTATAGCGACGGCAAAAACGGTCGGCACTCCCTGCGCGGGGTCTAAAAGGGTTGTCTCTATTCTCTTAATGAGTCATAGGTGTGTTTTGGAACGTGGAATAAACCAATCAGAGTCTCATCTCCCATTCCCTTTAAGAGTGAGTTGCGCTCGTGCCATGGTGGATTTGCTATTTACACGGCAGAATTTGCAAGTGCAATGACTGAACGCGTCTGCAGATGAAGCGGAGCTGCTTGTGCTTGAGCAAATAAGTAGGCTAATTCTGATACATGTGTGACGGGACTAGGTGATTGACAACAGTGTTTGCCTATCAGAGAGTAGTATCTTGGATTTAAGGGCTGATTGGCTGTTGCCTGGGATGCGTCACGTCCAACTTCCCTCTTTGTGCTGGTGTTGACGGTGGTTGCAGGTAAGCGTGCTATGGTTTAACAGGTGGTTATTTTAAAACTTGTTGGGTGTGCACAACTTCTAAAGCACTTTTGTTAATTATAGTGCATCTTTTTGCTCTGGTGCTGGTGCCCTTTCAGCACTGTGTATTTTTACGAGCTCGTTGTATTGGGCATTATGTTGATGTGGGGTTAACATTTTGTCGCATGCTAAATAGGCTTGATTTCCTGTATTCCATTGTGCTATCAGTGGGCATGACTGACAAACCCGTGCCTGTAAGTTTTCTATCTGGCGTGATATCCTGACGGTTGGTTTTTAAAAAATGCAATTATAATTGCGAGTGTGGACAACATGATGATTGGTAACATCTCCCTTTGTGTTTGCTGTAGGATACTCCCTTTCATTCTATATCCGATTGTTTGCTGCTGTCTCGCTCTTCTCGCCGTTAAAGTGCTGCTTTTTATACCGCCGTGAAGATGCTGTCGTCGCCGTTATTTGAAGGGGACTGCTTGTGTCTGTTCCTTATTGTGCCGTCTTAGTGCCCTGCTTCACTTTGTGCATCTGACTTCTGATCTTTTCATTTTTTAAAAGAGAGACATTTGTGCTCTGTCTCTTTTTCCCTCTGTTTTGCCTTTATGTGGAAGTAAAATTAGTTTGGCTTGGTTGGTTTGATTTCTTTTCTTCATTCCTGTTGTTAATTTGTTTTGTGTTTTGCCGTTTTATTTGCAGGTGACCAATCATTTATTAATGCAACTTGACTTTGTGATTATTTACATCTAATTCAAAGTTGCTTTGTCATAATTTCATGTGACTAATTATTTAATCCTTCCAACATTTCATTGTTCTTCTCTGTTCTGTCTGGTATTGATACCCACTTTTGTGAGGAGTTGTTTCATCAATTAATTGATGTCCATATTGCATTTTGCTTTAAGTCTATTGTTATAGTTTATTCATTTATTTATTGCAGGAGCTGGGGTCCCACGGGTGAACGGATCTTCTTCCTTGTGGTGGTGGTTCTTCTTTATTGCGTGATGTGTAACACTCCGAGTGTTTGGTAGTGTGATCTGAGTGCACAGTGGTGTGTGCGTGGAAGTGTGCCTTGTAAAACCAACCCTCTTGTAGTTTCTTGCCGTTGGGAGCCTCAGCCCTGCTGGTATTATTTCATTTTGGTTTGTTTTACATGCATTTACTACAGGTACATAAAGTTGGTTTGGTTTGAAGTGGGGTTTTCAGTTTTTCCTGTTGATTTCCTGTTGAGTGTGTAGTATTTTAAAATAAGTTGATCAATAAAAATAAAATATTTTTACACTTTACCCACGTTTCTTGCCTAATTCTATGAGGGAACCGAACCTGTGTGCTTGATCACTCAATTTTTGGGTTGTTTGAGTATTATTCCCTGGGGGTAACTCCTAGGGTGGTGTAGTCGGATTTTCTTATTGTGAAAAGCTTGGGCTCGGGTCTCTAAAATTGCACCACTTTGCCACACATGCAATGACTATCCATTATGACGTGTAGGCATTTTTAAATATATGTAGCTTACACAATAATAATCTTTTACATTTTAATATTTGGCATGTTTGCGTGCTGCTGCGCGTCCACTGCTGTGTGTGTAATAAGCAAAGAGTACGTGCGTTGTGGACCCGCCTGTAGGCGCGTATTACTAACGCGCTCTTTAAATAACAGAAAAAATGAAAAATACTGCGCCACTGACTTTAGACCAGGTTTTAGTTGTTCAATGGCGTAGTCTATTTCAGCTGCCTCAAAATGGCTTAAGTGCCAACAACACGCCTCGTTTTCAGACCAGCACGCCCATGAGCGCACAAATGCATTTGCTATTTAAACAACGTAGCGCAGGACATGAAAATGATAACTGCGTCAGGCTGAAACTAGCAAAAAACACTTGCGTCGCGCCAGCCGCCACATTACGCTGGGTGTATGATCGGCCCCATTGTTTGTGATCAGCTGCTCTAAACGCCCCAGAGAGAATTCAGTACATTAAGATAGCGATTCTAGTGTCAGTTCAACCTCTGAAATAAGAATGATGTACATACACACCTTTTTTCAAAGAGTATATTGCTGTTGCTGTAGTTGACTCTTCAACTATTAAAAAAATTGGAAATAGAAAAATCATATTTTAATGCATGAACATAACATCCAGTCTTTTCTTTAACAAACTGAAACTGATTTATTATAACTGCTGTAGTGCAGGTCAGCTCAATATCAGTGTTAAGACCCAAGTATACTTCGTTTTTGTACATGTTTGCTTATGTGTATAGTCGAACACGTAGACTTTCAACGTATACTCCATTTAATGTTGCGTGCGAATGCTGGTGGTCGACACATGCGCTTTAGAAAGCTTCATCCATGTCTAGTGTCTGCTCTATTTTTCTTCATAAGTTATGGCTGATAAATATTTTTGAATTCTTGTAAACCAAAGCTGAGCTGTCTCATACCCTCTCGCTCACAAGCACTAGTCAATGTGAGTGTCTTTTGTTTGCATATGCGTACAAAAACGAGTATACTTGGGGCTTCACGTGCACTGTATGCTGACCCTTGCATACGCAAAAAAAGTATACTTTGTGCTTTACTCTCAGTTATGTTGCTGAAAGCGGTTTACACTCAAATGGAATGACTTTTAAACCACTGAAATAAGAAAGACATGAATAAATACCTTGTTGTTCAGTAAATCCAGGTGTGTGAGTAGCTGTAGTCCTCTCGGAGTTTGGGATATTAAATGAATGCTGATTTTCTGTACAAATTAAGTGATGAATTTTTAGTTCATATACACCATATTTTGTGAAAAAGCATTTAAGTAATAAACATTCATCTTATCAGTTACTACAGACTTACAAGAAAACATAAACATCATGACTCATATGTATCAAAATGTCATAGACTCCATCTTACTGACAAATCTGATTAAAGAGCTACTTTCTACAGATGACATTTGTGATGTTAAGAGCAGTGTGTGAGAGTCAGTGTACTGAAGTGAGAAAGACTGCTGATGTGTGTCAGTGATGATGAACCTTGTGTAGGAGTTGCTGCTGTAGTTTGGCTTGATTTCGTCTTAGAGTTTGAGCTACTGACTGGAGTCAGTGTTGAATTGACTGCAGCTGCAGAAAATTAATGTTCAGATGGATCATAATACTGTAGGACATTAACATTACATTTTCGTACTTCATTACATTACATGAAGTTTGTGTTTCATCAATGTTTACAGTGGCAGTTGCTGGGAAGAGGTATTCAAAAATAATTTATGCCTCATTTATATAAGAGTGAAACATGGTGAGCTGCTGCCCATTCACTTTCAGTTTGTCCTGAACGGATGACAATATTAAAACTTCAACATAACAGAACCTGAACAGATGTCCAAAATAACTGAACATTAAACACTAACAGGTCTTTACCTTTACTCAAAAATGCTTAAAATGTCATTTGATTTCAACATTTACTCTCCCAGTTCACTCCTGTGCAAAGCATGCTGGAAACTAAACATATACCCAAGCAGTTTCAATGAATGTAGCAAAAATTATTTATGTAGCCTAAACATTAATGGATTAAATAAACTTCAGTTTTACTTATTTAAGTGGACTGAACATAATGAAACCGAGTTGTGATAAAATGTTCAATAATTGTTTCTCTAACTAATTTTATGTAAATTGAACAAGTAGTAAAAAGTCATTTTTCATTGTGTTTTGCAGTCTTCCTTAAATTTGAGCATGAAAACTAAGCAACCATATAGATTGTGAAAAAATCTGTATCTTCCATTCAGACTCATAATCATCAGCATTACTGTCTTGCATGTTGTTCTTGGCCTTCAGTTGCTCATATCAATATGTTGTGCATAACGAGACATCCTGCACTGTGTTTATTAATTTGTGCGTGTTACTTTGGCTGAGAAACACTTGTCAAGTAAAGCTGACGAGATGTTTTATTTCAGTGAACCAACTCTTTTAATTTAAGTTCAAGTGATTACAAGCATTTGTTAACATGAAATAGAGAGGATTTAGTAAAACTCAGAGCAGTGAGTTTTTTACTCTACCTTGAGTAGAAGTTTCTGCTGTTACTGAATCAGCTTGAGCTGTAAAGAATGAATGTTAGTTCAGATTAATCATACTGAAGAATATAGCAATCATATTTTAACTTTCATCATCATATTTCATAAAAAGTTCACATTTTTGCTGTCATGTTTCAATTGCTTAATTAGTTCAAGCAGCAGTTTTTGGACTGTTAAACTTGACATTGGTTCCTGAGTTTGCAGCAGTGCTTTGAGTTTGTCTTGTCAAACAGAAAGAAGCTTTTGTTCCTTGGTGTGTTCTGCTTCAATGATACTAATAGTCCTTAGTGTTATTGACATTATGAGGATCTAAAACTGACTGATGAGATTTTTCTCACCTGAACTCTTGACAGTGTATGTGGCTGAGGTCTTGACTTGATCTCTCCGAGTAACATTGCATCTCCACTCTCGGTTGTCATCTTCATTCAGGAGTGTTGTATTCAGAGTGATGATACAGTTTCCTGATGAGGATAATATCTGATATCTAGAGTCTGATCTCATCAGTTTAACACTATCTTGATTCACCCAGAACAGCTCAATTCCCTCAGAACGGATCCAATCATCACAATAGACTCCAGCAAATGAACATAAATACAACTGACAGGAGAGAGTCACAGAGTGGCCTGCACTGATCTCAGTCTGTGAGGATGAGGATGATGACGGAGAGACTGAAACACAAAATAAGACACAATTCACAGATTTTCATCATGGGAAATTAAATGGAGAATTTGGCCTTTTTCAATTGACCACATAAGTGTAAAGTTACCATGAAGAACATGCAGATTAGCACGTGCATCAGTTCCTAGTTTTTGTCCATTCACAAACTGTCGGCAGGTGTAAAGTCCATAATCTTCTTTTGTGATGTGCTTGATGTTCAGAGAGCAGTCAGACCCCAGACTCAGTCTCTCATGACTCTCAATGTCTTTCTTCTTTATACCTCCAGCAATCAGTTCAACTGCTGCTAAATTTCTGAATCTGTTATAGTTCCATGTAGTTGATTTGCGGTGAGGAAGAGCATTATTACAGAGCAGACGGACATTTTCACCAGAACTGATGAACACATGAGTCTCATTCACTCTACTGGAACCTGAAACACAAGAACATATGGAATCTCATAAATGAAAACAGCAAAAAAAACTGTTAATTATTTGAAAAAAAGAGAGGAAAATTTTTTTGTTTTAGGAAAAATTTAATATGTAGAATAAACTATTTTGCAAATTGTGAATATCTTATATAGTGGTTCAGTTCACTTTCTAACACTTCTAAATTGAACAGTACATTGCATTAGATTTTTGAAAGATAATATGACACATTATGACAAATGTGACAAATGTGACCCTGGACCACAAAACCAGTCATAAGGGTCTTTTTTTATTATTATTGAGATTTATGCATCATCTAAAATCTGAATAAATAAGCTGTCCATTGATGTATGGTTTGTTAGGAGAGGACAATATTTGGCTAAGATACAACTCTTTGAAAATCTGGAATCTAGGGGTGCCAAAAAAACTAAATATTGAGAAAATCGCCTTTAAAGTTGTCTAAATGAAGTTCTTAGCAATGCATATTACTAATCAAAAAATGTAATTAGTAAAATTTAATAAGGTTTTATATATGTACATTAAGAAATTTACAATATATCTACAGTTCATGGAACATGATCTTTACTTAATATCCTAATGATTTTTGGTATAAAAGAAAATAATATATAATTTTGACCCATACAATGTACTTTTGGCTATTGCTACAAATATACCCCAGCGACTTAAGACTGCTTTTGTGCTCCAGGGTCACAAATATCAGTGCATTCAGGAATAAAACAGTATTAACCAAACACATGACATGAATTTCAGCAAGATAGGTAGCTTGTTTAAACTCTTTACCAAACTCTATGCAAGAATGATATATTGAGTTGATGTTTAATATATGTTCAAATCATACAGATCTTTTATGATATCTTATAGATCATATACAAATTTCTTTACCTGTGAGAAGTGAAGAGAGAATGATCAGTCCCAGCAGACACAAATTACACTTATAAGCCATCTTCTCTTTCTGTCAGTCTTCCTCTTCATTATACGCTCACAAATCTTTCTTTAAATACTCTCAGCTCTTCCTGTGTTTGTTCACTTCCTCTGATCTGATTGGCTGAGTGTTTATTCCTGACACCAGCTGCATTTGACTGACACTATATCACTGCATGAAGGACAAGTGTTGAATCAGCATCATATTCTGGTGATCAATCAATATATCAGTGTTTCTGTTTCTGTCTGATCTTCACACTGTTAGCAGTTATATTTGCTCTGAATCTCACCTGAACCATGAGACTCATGATTGCCATTTTCAAAGATGCACTGACAGAAAAAAAACTACTACTGCATCATCACTGTGTCTGTCACGCGACTCTGTTGCCCTTTCAGGCTTGAACTGATGGTAAAACTAACAACACATTTGGACGGCGTTATGCTAATATTTCCACATAGTGACGTAGATATGTGGGGGCATGTTAGAACGAGCCGTTTTAGGTAGGCGTGGCTGACTTAACTTTTATAAAGAATATCTCTTTGGATTTGAGACTTTAGTCTTTGCAGCTTTACAGATCTTCTTTATGCACCAAGAGCTTGTAACACTCCAAAGAGAAAGGAAAACTTGAAATCGCATCATATGTCCCCATTAAAAATAACAGTGGTTTGTGAATGTTGATGCTTAGCCTAAATAACAAATATTTTATCGGGAGTGTTTATGCTGGGATGTTGTGGATCTTAGGAGATGTTACAGAACCATTTCATGTAAAGATCTTCGACGTACTGAAAAAATCTATATAGATTACTTTTATGCGGGCGGGAGCGGGACAAAACATGAATGTTCGCGGGCGGGAGCGGGACCAGATAAAATATATTTCTGCAGGAGCGGGCAGGCGCTCTCTACATTAGACCTTTTGAAGTTAATTTTAACACTCACTTGGGATTGACGCTTTGTTAAACGCTATCAGTGTGACTGGTGTCTGAACAAAATGTTCACACACAACAAGCCTTATTAACTATTTTCTGTCTCTGTCAGTCTTCCTCTTCATTATATGCTATTTTCTGTCTCTGTCAGTCTTCCTCTTCATTATATGCTCACACTTTCTTTAAATACTGTCAGCTCCTCCTCTGCTCATCAGTTTCTCATGTTTAGACAGACAGTCTCATAAAGACCAGGATGAGTGTCCAGATTAATTCCCATCAGTCTAAACTGGGTTCAGAGATGATCTCTGCTCTATTGTGGTCAAACTAACGGAGTTCTCACACTCAGCAGTAACATGTTCCCAAACCTCAACACTGAGATCACAGCTCTGAAAACGCTACAGGAAACATGTAATGTCACACTTAGTTCAAAACTTTACCACCTTGAGTCACCTTGCTTAATTAAAACTAGACAAAAGGTTCCACAAGGAATTGAATACAATACACAAACTTACAAAGGAGAAGCAAAAGGTTGTCTAGGAAAAACACAATATTTCATATATTGCCATATATGTATATACCATACACAATATATATACAGAGTTTAGAAAGAAACAATAAAGACTTGTTTTCTCTGCACTGTCTATGTGTGTAGATTTGGAACGTCTCGGTTACGTACATAACCCTCATTCCCTGATGTAGGGAACGGAGACGTTATGTCGATGACGACATTAGGGGATTCACTTGGGAGCCCCAATCATCTCTGACTTTAAGAGAAAACGGCAATGAAATTTGGCTAGTGGATTTTGCATACCTGAACCACTCCCCCGTGCACACAGGTATAAATAGGCGACAGGTGCATCCACTCTTCAGGTTTTACACTGAGGAGCCGAGAACTTGTCCCTGGCCGCCAGCGATGGTTCGAGGTTGTGGCATGGGCCATCAGGCAACGAGGGTTACATATGTAACCGAGACGTTCCCTATCTGTCGGTCACTTCGAGCTATGTCGATGATAACATTAGGGGTCCATGGAAAGCTCCACAACCTGAACCCCATCACAACCTTAAGGCATCGCAAATGTTGACAAGCATCTGCGTGTCAGACAAATGCAACGCTGAGGTCATAACCTTCCCACCGCCCCAGAGCAAATTCGCGTTCTGGCCCATCCTCGCAGGACTCCCTAAGTCCCCGGGGAGACTGGCCAGATATGCATGGAGGCGTCGCGTCTCCCAACTGCAGTCTCTTGGCTACTGGCAAGAAGGGTCATCGCGGGTGAGAGTGAGGAAGCAGTGCGTTGAACACTGTAAGCCCGCGAGCCTGAGAACCAGGAGGAAAAGGAAATTGCTCTCTTTTTTTTGATAATGTGGTTACCACTGGCCCTCCAGCGGTGGAACAGAAACAAAATGAAACTCACCAGTTCTCCTCCGGGGGGGAGGAGTGGCGCCATCCTCGCCGTCTCCTGGAAAATAGCAGATTCCCACATCTCCGGATTGCCCGCATCAGGGCCGCTTTGTCATCTTCCTGGACAACTTGGGGTCCGGCTGGGACCAGGGGGGCGCCGCACTCCTACGAGAGGCTCAACGCACCGGCCTAGGTGCCGAGACTGAGGCCTGGCCCACAGGGCAGAGTTGGCTGGTGGTGCATCACGCATCAAGATGTGCTGAATCGCCTCTGTCTGCTTCTTTACTGGCCAAAGCCCTCGACAGTGTCGCCGAACAGCCCAGCCTGGGTGCGTCGAGAAAATAAAAGGAGTTGAAAAGTGCCCGTCAAACACCAGCTCGCTCTGCTTCGCCATCGGCACCGCCTTTGTCCATTTTTTTTTTACTTTTGGTGAAAAATTAAATGTAGCGAAGTTGAATACTTTAGTTTTATTCTACTTAAGTAAAAGTACCACAATTTAATTATACTCAAGCAGAAAAAGTGTAAAATGTACTCAAGTACTGTAACGAAAGTATTTGTAATTAGTTACTTTCCACCTCTAGTATTAGGCACACAGACAAAATGAGTGTACTGCAGCTTACAGAGAGCCTCATCATCTCATGACAGAACCGTCAAACTGTGGACAGACGCAGTAAGAAACAGGTATTTTTATTCTTGCTTCTATGCATGGTGTGTATTCCATTTCCTTTGTTTCTCACCAATTTTCTATATTTCACAGGTGGGCTAGTTTGCGTATGGAGGCCCTGTCAAGCTAGAGGTGAACCCATGAATTTGTTTGTGCTGATACACAGAGTGAGCTTGTGCTTCCTGTCTCGGAAAGGTTGACTTGCTGAACATCAGTTAGAAGGACACAGTCATTATTTGTAATCGGTTCCATCAGTTGTAATGTTGCAGTCTGCACATTTTATTTTTACATGAATAAAAATGTAATTTAAAAATTTAGTGTAACTGGTGCATTTTGCACCAATTACACTACTGCCTTAAAGCCATATTTTAGAACATTTGCATTGATTTTATTATATGAATTTGACAGCCACTTGATTATATAGATATATTCAGTTACATTAAGTACAATGATTTAAAGATTTTAAGGACATGCTTTTGATTTTTTTTAGTGGTCGGCAAGCTCACATGGGGAAAAGCAGATGTCCACTGAATGTGCTGTGATGTTCTCCATTGTCGAAAATCCATTGTCCAGGATAGAGATTCACCTTCATTTGATCCCCTTCTTCTGGCAGAGGAGAGACTCCATTTGAAGAGCTGATAAAACCGCTTGCTTGCTGTCCATGTGTAGAAATGATGTACTGGTCATTTTTAAACAGGCCTGCAGTAACGGCGCTCTCTGGACTTCCAAAGGCCTTGGAGAAGACCCTGAAAGCATACGCTCCCCTCACAGGTGCTGTAAAGATTCCTGTAACAGTGATTAATTAGATGCATTCAAATGAGAGCATTATAAAAAACAACCACAGATACAGTCACACTATATGAATAGATTCACCTGTGTTTGGATCATAGGCGTCTCCAATATTAAGGAAGACATATTCATAAATCAGGGTGTGTAGACCATTATGAAAGGGTATTCTGCCCTCGTAAAAGAGTTCCCCTTCTTGAACTAGGCAGATAGATAACTCCTTCCACAGTGACGTTGAATTGACGCATGGATTTATTATGACCCCCAAATATAAGTGGAACAGAGTAAAACTGAAATACAAAAAGATGAAAAAATAAGTTTCTACAGAATGTGCATTAAAGATAAGTAACAGTACACTTAAGGGATAACTGCATATTCTATACACAATAATAACACAAATGCATGTAACACTGTACTGAAAATAACCTCTCTAAACATAAAATTTATCCTGAATAACATCACCAATACCAAATATAAGATGATAAAGTTCTTGTAAACACTTTAATACTTACAAAGCTTCTTTAAATGATTGCCAAGATGATGAAAAGATTGAAAATAGCTGCTTTAACCGTGTGACTATCAGCATCAACTGCGTAAAACAAGATGCTATTAAAGTCAGAGGTTACTGTCAAAACATAGAATAGCACCACCTAGTGGCTCAAATTAACTACACTAAACTAAACTACACTGGAAACAGTACAAAGGGTCCAACGCTTTGTGGTCCGAAAGAGCTCAACAGAGAGGCTGAGAAAGCCACTTCAGGAGCTAAAACACAAACATAAAATTTAGATTACAAATTCTCTCATGTTCACATTGTTCAAAAGTAGTCTCTTAAGGCTGCATTTATTTGTTTAAAAAAAAATAATAATAATTAAATAATTTATTCTTGTGATGGCAAAGCTAAATTTTTACCAGCCATTACTCCAGTCTTCATTCTGCAGAAATGCATTCTAATAGTGGATTTAGTGCTCAAGAAATATTTGTATAAATTCTCAAGATTTTTGATTATAGTTCGAAACCTGCATTTATATGGAACAAATAGTAATATGTCTTTACGGTCACATTTGATAAGTTTAATGCATTCATTACTGAATAAAAGTATTCATTACTATACCAAGAGTGTAACAAGCTCTGTACATTTTAGAAAAACAAAAAACAAAAATCACAATTCAACAAATAAATGAATCCTGACTCATTTAACTTGACAAATTTACAAAGTTGTAACAGCCTTAATTTTGAAAGGGAGTTTA